GATAGATAGGCAAGATGTGAAAAGAAAAGAAAAAAGGCATGAGAGAAACATTGCTTTACAATCCTTACAATGTAATAAAAAAAGTAGATATTTTGTGTATGAAAGCATTGTAATATTTACTGGTAAGCTGCCAAATTTTGTTAACATTTGCTTACTAATTTAAAAGTTATAGCATGAAAACTATAACAATGGTTACGAGGTCATCACATTGACCGACCCCATACTGAAAGAGTTAAGCAGGACACAATACAACTATCCCATGAAAGTGTAGATCTGTTCCATGTTACAGTTGGGATCAGGCTATGCTATGGAAACTTATGCCTAGGGCTGAACTTAGCATGTGACCTTAACAAAATTTAGCATGATTCATATTAGAATTTTATAAAAGAAGTTACAAAACTTGTAATTATAAAATATATATATATATATATATACTGTCAGAAAGTTAGGTAGGTGATATTTAAAGTACTACATTGTAGAGAGAAAGAAGGACCAAGATAGTAATCAGGGAAGCAAAATTGAAATAACGATACATATAATGTACATAATAAATTTAGAAAATCATAATACATTAAATAATGTGTAATTCATTGTTAAAACGTTACATGTGTGCATGATGATATCCATGTGACTATCTAAAATGTTATTTGATTGTTAGAGAACAACTGCTTAAGTATATATCTGAAATAGAATGTCCATTATATGATGATTTGGATATTTTTAAAGTGATATAAAACTTTTCTCATCATTTCACAGTTTTACCTTGGCAGGTTCTGGAAGAAATACATTAGAAGTAAATATTGTTACGAAATACAAAGATTGTGTGTTTGAAAGTAAGTAGATTGTATCATTCATTAAATTCTGTTCACTTTTCAGGAAATAAAGCATTGCTTTAGAAATGAGTGTGAAGATTCTGGGAAAGAAAACAATCAGTTAAATAATAAAGAACAGAACAGTTCACATTTAAGCAGTGCTGAGGCAGATCTTGACATTCTAGCAGAGGAACGTGAAGGTTTTGAACTCAGTGTTTCCAGTTCTGAGATATCTGATGTTATCACTGGGAATCAGTTTAGATCCTTAGAACCAGAAGAACTTATTGATAGAAGTCATAGAATGTATTGGAATTTTCAGAAAAACAGAAAAAAAATTTCATTTGCTGTACGTGAAGCTCACCAGTTGCTTCCAATCACACTTATGAGGTAAAAAATTAATTAGTTTTTTTGTTGTTGTTTTTTCAATTATTATTTCAGGACAGCAATTTTCCAGGATCACTTTTTGCATTATTAGTCTACCTATGGAAGGTAGATTTCCACAGTCTGCCAAACATTTCTCTACAATTATTTGTGCTTTTGAACAAATATAGTGGATAAAGCATAATTCTTTGAATGAAGACAATGATCTTCATAGTTATAAAAACCTTTCATTATTGAATATTAAGTCTGTTATTATCATTTTAATAATTGTTTATTTGCAGATGATTGTTTGTTTGTTGAATTTTGTGCAAAGCTACTTGAGGGCTACCTGCACTAGTCTTCCCTAATTTTGAAGTAATAGACTAGAGGGAAGACAGCTAGTCAATACCACTCACTGCCAATTCTTGGGCTTCTCTTTATCAATAAATAATGGGATTGACTGTCACATTATATCACCCCACCCACCCCTAGCTGAAAAGGAAAGCATGTTCAATGACAGGTTTCCATTTCAAGATGAGCATCCTAACCACCAGACAATGTCAGGCCCTTTTTTGCAGATGAATTGCCATAAGTAATAATTACAAGATAAAAGTCAGTAAATATTTCAATAACTCATTTCAACTTGTATTTTTTTTATTTTTGTTTCTTTTAGTTTTGTACAAAGCAGTCATTAATCTTATGCTTGAAATAAAATCAAAGACAAGATTTATGACCACTTCTTGGAATATATGACTGTATTCATTTTATTAATTATGTTCCAATGAGCAGATTTCTTTAATGAACCTTTTTTCTAGACGTTGTAGATTTTATATCAGAATGAAAACATTTTAGCTCTCAAATTTCATGAAACACTTGAAGCTGTAAGTAAGTAACAAGTTATTGTAAAGTATTTCAATGACTCTGTAAACTTTAATGTAACATAGATATTTCCAAAGTGCTTCTTAGCTTATTGCATCTGTCTTTTTTCCTTTTAAAAATATATGCTGTGCAGCTGCTAAGATTCATTCTTGAAGTTTTCTAACCATAATAAGTATTTTGGCACACTTTTTAGCAGATTTATAAAATGTATTGAAGAAAATAGCATTTTTCTTAATAATAATACAGCATAAAACCTTCACTTTTCACTTCCGTGTTTATGATATAACATTCAACCTATTACGTCAGGTTTTTCTATATACATTTTTGCATAAGATGTGAAGTGAAAAAAGATAGCTAAAGAAATTAATGAGTTTTACTAATGAACAATTTATTTTTTCAAAACCTGCTACTAAGATGACTTATTAAACATTGTTCACTGACTTGATGCTAGTATCTCTTCATCTGTATTCCTGTGGATATTACTAAGCTTGATTTGTACATTCCTTCAATGTTCCCACAGAATTGCAAAACCATATGTATTTCATATATATTGTATATTGATACTATAATGTGTGTCAGCACATAGCTATTTTATTAGATATAATGTGGGCATATCTATGGGTGTGTTTTTTTTCCACTTATTTTCTGTCTTGAACTCTTTTATAGGTATGTTGTTGTATTGCTCTGACATATTAATGCATTTACTTGTGTGTATAAATGAAAATCAAAATGTTTTTTGTGAAAATTTGATATTAAAAATTATAAGAGAATTTCTCAAATGTATCTGTTAACATATATTTAGAAATGAAATCTTGAGTGCCATAGAAAAGAACCAAGTGATTGTCCTTTCGGGAGAACCTGGATGCGGCAAAACAACTCAAGTACCACAGTTTATCCTGGATGATCTTATCCTTCATTTGAAAGGTGCAGAATGTAACATGGTTGTCACACAACCTAGACGGATATCAGCTATCTCTATAGCAGAACGAGTGGCAAAAGAAAGAGGAGAAAGGGTTTGAACTCTTTTAATGTCCAAGATTTATGTGAATTATTAAATACAAGATCACACAGTGTTTCATCATGATAATAATAGCTGGCTATTAACTGGGTCATGTATTCTATTTTCTCAAGCTACAGAATGTTATGTAGATTTTATGAGTTTTTGTTGTTTTTAGATTATTAATTAGTGTACTGTAAGAAAGATATATAATGAAATGATATAAAATGAATCTATTATGTGAAAAGAACCAACACAAGACACAGCTTAAAAACTAACCTGTAGAAATTTCTTGAAGATTGTATTTTGAGTTAACAATTAAATTAAATGTTACATTATAATTTTTTATCCCATGATTGAAAGGTTGGGGGGGGGGGGTAATGATGTTGCCTGTCTATCCAGTTCTAAACAGCAGAAAACTTTAAAAGTCACTTTCTTAAGGGATGTGTTAGAAACCTATTGATCTTGGGGTTAAATTCCAAAAAATAGGAGGTTGGTTTGTGTGCATAAGAGTACATAACCAAAAATACAGACACATTGTATTTATCAACACACCAAAAAACAAAAACAAAATTAGTTTGGGGGGCATTCTGCTCATAGCTATTTTCCATAATACTGTTTTTTTAACAATGCAGGTATGCTTTCATGAGTGATGGAAAGCCCCCCTGGAATCTACTATACAAATATTTCTATACTGACTTGTCTAGTTCAAAAAGTTTTTAAGAGCATGTATAAATAATATAAAAATAACCACTTAGTTCTTTACTAAGCTAAAAGGTTCAGTGCAACTTGTTTCTTTATGAATCACTGTTAGTTATTGTTAAGCAAAAAAATGTGTAGTAACTACCAATGTGAGGACTGAATCCTAAATTTTAGCATTATACTATAAGCCATGAAGGGAGGGCATTATTTCTTAGAAATTTTTTTCTTATTTATACTGTCTAGAATCTACTATACAAATAATTCTTTACTGACTTGTCCAGTTCAAAAAGCTTTTAAGAGCGAGTAATATTTTGTTGTCTTATAAAACAATCTCCAATCTTTATTTCTTTTCACTGAAACTAATTGCCAAAATGTATATTTTGAATTATAATAATATACAAGGAATAATATTCTGAACCTTGTGATGCTTTGACTATATGTATAAAACATACATGTGAAAGTTACATTATTCCATTTAGGTGAGTTTACTGTTATAGATCATTAGTGTAAGTGAACATGGCACTGCTGAACAGTTTTGAAAAGTTCATAAAATAACCTTATGGTTATATAATAATACATGTCTTACAATATCCTTCTAAGGTAATTAATGAAACTATGGTGAAACCAAGAAATTTACATGCTTTTGTCATATTGACAGATAACAGGTAAGCAATAATTATCATGATAGCAAGAGAATTGAAAAGAATTGTTTTGTGAGAGAATACAAATTAACACTGACAGTAAAGCAAAGACAGGCACATATTGGCTTATGTCCATATCATACTATTAAGTCAGACCAAAGTCTTAATGTTGTATCCCAGAATTATAGATTGCTCACATCAGTGATAATTTTCATTATACATATGTAAGTGTAGAGTAATTTCTAGTTGGTACTGACATGTACAAGTTTCTGCACCACCCCTCAACTTGGGTATGACTCTATGGAATGGGCTCCGTAATATATAACCTTAACCCTAGGTGAGGGTTAATGTAAGTTTATGACTATTTACATCACAAGGACTTAATGATCTCCAGAATACCATCATGAAGACTCTTAAATATTTACCTGAATATACCAAAATAAAGATGTATTTTCATTTAAATGTGAAAGGATAGATATATATATGTCAGTTTTAAGCAGCTACTCTTATATATGTCCTTATATTATGAGATCGTACAACATTTTAGTCATTAACCTAATCAATTATTAATCCTAATTTAGCAAGAGTTGGTATTTTTTTGCTGAAGATGCAAAATGACTTAATTATGGCTTTAACTAACTTGAAATTTATATTCCAAAAACAGTTTTGTATTTCTTTAACATAATTTGTAAATATTACTAGTTTAAATTAGAAAATCATGGACTTTATTTGTAAAAATTGAAAAACGTATAAAGAAAATGAAAATGAAAGCATTAACAGTTTTACATAAAACTTAAAAGGATTTTAAATTTTATTAATGTAAAAGAGATTTTATATTTTCAGATGGGAGAAACAGTTGGTTACCAGGTAAGACTGAAAAAGGTGATTCCACAAGAAAAAGGTGCTTTGCTGTTCTGTTCAACTGGGATTTTGTTGCGTAAACTTCAAGCCAATCCTTCTCTAGAGGGAATTAGTCATGTAATTGTGGATGAAGTTCATGAGCGTGATATTCAAACTGACTTTTTATTGATCCTTTTAAAAGATTTGCTTAAATCAAATCGAGAGTTGCGAGTTATCCTGATGAGCGCTTCTCTAAATGCTGATTTATTTTCTAAATACTTTGATAACTGTCCCATAGTTAATGTCCTAGGGTTTGTGCATGACGTTGAAGAGTATTTCTTGTCAGATATTTATAAAATACTAGGAAAAAGGGAGACAAGTAATAACATGAAATCTTATAATTTACCTAGAGTAAATTATGATCTGATCTTGGATTTAATACAACACATTGATTCAGAGGAACCTCCTGGTGCAATTTTGTGCTTTCTACCTGGCTG